TGGTGACATTACACATCCCTGTCTAAGACCTACTTTTACCGGGAAGTAGTCCCCCTCTCTTCTACACACCCTAACCTGAGCCTCACTATCCTCATAAAAACTCTTTACAGCATTTAGTAACTTACCACCTATTCCATAAACTTGTAACATCTGCCACATTGCTCCCCTATCCACTCTATCATTTGCCTTTTCTAAATCCATAAATGCAATGAAAATTTCCCTACCTTTATCTAAATACTGTTCACATATATGCTTCAATGTAAACACTTGATCTACACATCCCCTACCCACTCTAAAACCTCCTTGCTCACCCGCAGTCTTACATTCTGTCTTACCTCTAATTCTTTGAATAATAACCCTACCATACACTTTTCCTCTTATACTCAGTAAACTTATTCCTATATAATTTTTACAATCCCTTTTGCCCATTCCCTTTATATAAAGGAATTATACATGCTCTCTGCCAATCCCTAGGTACCTTCCCTTCTTTCATACATTTATTAAGCAAAAATACCAACCACTTAACACTATATCTTCCCTTGCTTGTAACATTTCTGTCATGATCCCGTCAGTTCCAGCTGCATTACCTCTTTTCATTCTACGTAATGCCTCACGCACCTCCCCCACACTCACATCCTGCTCTTCTTCACTCCTGAAAGATGGTATACCTTCCTTGGCAGTCCATGAAATTACCGTCTCCCTTTCTTCGTCGACATTTAAAAGTTCCTCAAAATATTCCCGACATCTAGCCAATACCTCTATCTCCCCATCTACTAACTCCCCTACTCTGTTTTTAACTGACAAATCCATTCGTTCTCTAGGCTTTCTTAACTTGTTTATCTAACTCCAATTTTTTTTTCTTATTTTCATCAAAATTTCTTGAAGTGCCTCTCCCACTATCATCTGCTCTCCTTTCACACTCTCTCACCACTCTCTTCACCTTCCTCTTACTCTCCATATACTCTGCTCTGCTTATAACACTTCTGAATCTGTCAGTAGAGGATCGGCAATGGGATCAGGCAACCCTCCCAGTGTAACTGGAAGGTGAAAGTTAAGACACATGTGCAACATCTGGATATCTTTATTGTAGTAGACGTTTCGCCATCCAGTGGCTTTATCAATACAGATTCTAGGACATAATAGGAAGACAGTAGAACTATATACAAAAGATGAGGTAATCAGTCCCTCGGCCTTGGAGTTAGTGTTCACAGCATCGTGGTGGAGGAGAGTCTGGAGCAAAGGCAAGAAGACTGGCGCTTTTTATAGGCGTCAGTGAATGGGACGGGCAGCAGACGAGGTCAGTCACTGGTAGCGGGATTCCCCAGTGGAAGTAGGTCCTTCCCAAAGAGATGGGTTAGATGCAGCAGCCGTGAAGAAGGTCTTGTAGATGTCCTCTGAACCAAGATTCCATGATGTTGCAGTGTCTGACAAGTTGTGCAAAGAAAGGTATAAAATACCGACAATATGAAAGTTAAGACACATGTGCAACATCTGGATATCTTTATTGTAGTAGACGTTTCGCCATCCAGTGGCTTTATCAATACAGATTCTAGGACATAATAGGAAGACAGTAGAACTATATACAAAAGATGAGGTAATCAGTCCCTCGGCCTTGAGTTAGTGTTCACAGCATCGTGGTGAGGAGAGTCTGGAGCAAAGGCAGAAGACTGGCGCTTTTTATAGGCGTCAGTGAATGGGACGGGCAGCAGACGAGGTCAGTCACTGGTAGGCGGGATTCCCCAGTGGAAGTAGGTCCTTCCCAAAGAGATGGGTTAGATGCAGCAGCCGTGAAGAAGGTCTTGTAGATGTCCTCTGAACCAAGATTCCATGATGTTGCAGTGTCTGACAAGTTGTGCAAAGAAAGGTATAAAATACCGACAATATGAAAGTTAAGACACATGTGCAACATCTGGATATCTTTATTGTAGTAGACGTTTCGCCATCCAGTGGCTTTATCAATACAGATTCTAGGACATAATAGGAAGACAGTAGAACTATATACAAAAGATGAGGTAATCAGTCCCTCGCCTTGGAGTTAGTGTTCACAGCATCGTGGTGGAGGAGAGTCTGGAGCAAAGGCAAGAAGACTGGCGCTTTTTATAGGCGTCAGTGAATGGGACGGGCAGCAGACGAGGTCAGTCACTGGTAGGCGGGATTCCCCAGTGGAAGTAGGTCCTTCCCAAAGAGATGGGTTAGATGCAGCACCGTGAAGAAGGTCTTGTAGATGTCCTCTGAACCAAGATTCCATGATGTTGCAGTGTCTGACAAGTTGTGCAAAGAAAGGTATAAAATACCGACAATATGAAAGTTAAGACACATGTGCAACATCTGGATATCTTATTGTAGTAGACGTTTCGCCATCCAGTGGCTTTATCAATACAGATCTAGGACATAATAGGAAGACAGTAGAACTATATACAAAAGATGAGGTAATCAGTCCCTCGGCCTTGGAGTTAGTGTTCACAGCATCGTGGTGGAGGAGAGTCTGGAGCAAAGGCAAGAAGACTGGCGCTTTTTATAGGCGTCAGTGAATGGGACGGGCAGCAGACGAGGTCAGTCACTGGTAGGCGGGATTCCCCAGTGGAAGTAGGTCCTTCCCAAAGAGATGGGTTAGATGCAGCAGCCGTGAAGAAGGTCTTGTAGATGTCCTCTGAACCAAGATTCCATGATGTTGCAGTGTCTGACAAGTTGTGCAAAGAAAGGTATAAAATACCGACAATATGAAAGTTAAGACACATGTGCAACATCTGGATATCTTTATTGTAGTAGACGTTTCGCCATCCAGTGGCTTTATCAATACAGATTCTAGGACATAATAGGAAGACAGTAGAACTATATACAAAAGATGAGGTAATCAGTCCCTCGGCCTTGGAGTTAGTGTTCACAGCATCGTGGTGGAGGAGAGTCTGGAGCAAAGGCAAGAAGACTGGCGCTTTTTATAGGCGTCAGTGAATGGGACGGGCAGCAGACGAGGTCAGTCACTGGTAGGCGGGATTCCCCAGTGGAAGTAGGTCCTTCCCAAAGAGATGGGTTAGATGCAGCAGCCGTGAAGAAGGTCTTGTAGATGTCCTCTGACGCCTATAAAAAGCGCCAGTCTTCTTGCCTTTGCTCCAGACTCTCCTCCACCACGATGCTGTGAACACTAACTCCAAGGCCGAGGGACTGATTACCTCATCTTTTGTATATAGTTCTACTGTCTTCCTATTATGTCCTAGAATCTGTATTGATAAAGCCACTGGATGGCGAAACGTCTACTACAATAAAGATATCCAGATGTTGCACATGTGTCTTAACTTTCATATTGTCGGTATTTTATACCTTTCTTTGCACAACTTGTCAGACACTGCAACATCATGGAATCTTGGTTCAGAGGACATCTACAAGACCTTCTTCACGGCTGCTGCATCTAACCCATCTCTTTGGGAAGGACCTACTTCCACTGGGGAATCCCGCCTACCAGTGACTGACCTCGTCTGCTGCCCGTCCCATTCACTGACGCCTATAAAAAGCGCCAGTCTTCTTGCCTTTGCTCCAGACTCTCCTCCACCACGATGCTGTGAACACTAACTCCAAGGCCGAGGGACTGATTACCTCATCTTTTGTATATATTCTACTGTCTTCCTATTATGTCCTAGAATCTGTATTGATAAAGCCACTGGATGGCGAAACGTCTACTACAATAAAGATATCCAGATGTTGCACATGTGTCTTAACTTTCATATTGTCGGTATTTTATACCTTTCTTTGCACAACTTGTCAGACACTGCAACATCATGGAATCTTGGTTCAGAGGACATCTACAAGACCTTCTTCACGGCTGCTGCATCTAACCCATCTCTTTGGGAAGGACCTACTTCCACTGGGGAATCCCGCCTACCAGTGACTGACCTCGTCTGCTGCCCGTCCCATTCACTGACGCCTATAAAAAGCGCCAGTCTTCTTGCCTTTGCTCCAGACTCTCCTCCACCACGATGCTGTGAACACTAACTCCAAGGCCGAGGGACTGATTACCTCATCTTTTGTATATAGTTCTACTGTCTTCCTATTATGTCCTAGAATCTGTATTGATAAAGCCACTGGATGGCGAAACGTCTACTACAATAAAGATATCCAGATGTTGCACATGTGTCTTAACTTTCATATTGTCGGTATTTTATACCTTTCTTTGCACAACTTGTCAGACACTGCAACATCATGGAATCTTGGTTCAGAGGACATCTACAAGACCTTCTTCACGGCTGCTGCATCTAACCCATCTCTTTGGGAAGGACCTACTTCCACTGGGGAATCCCGCCTACCAGTGACTGACCTCGTCTGCTGCCCGTCCCATTCACTGACGCCTATAAAAAGCGCCAGTCTTCTTGCCTTTGCTCCAGACTCTCCTCCACCACGATGCTGTGAACACTAACTCCAAGGCCGAGGGACTGATTACCTCATCTTTTGTATATAGTTCTACTGTCTTCCTATTATGTCCTAGAATCTGTATTGATAAAGCCACTGGATGGCGAAACGTCTACTACAATAAAGATATCCAGATGTTGCACATGTGTCTTAACTTTCATATTGTCGGTATTTTATACCTTTCTTTGCACAACTTGTCAGACACTGCAACATCATGGAATCTTGGTTCAGAGGACATCTACAAGACCTTCTTCACGGCTGCTGCATCTAACCCATCTCTTTGGGAAGGACCTACTTCCACTGGGGATCCCGCCTACCAGTGACTGACCTCGTCTGCTGCCCGTCCCATTCACTGACGCCTATAAAAAGCGCCAGTCTTCTTGCCTTTGCTCCAGACTCTCCTCCACCACGATGCTGTGAACACTAACTCCAAGGCCGAGGGACTGATTACCTCATCTTTTGTATATAGTTCTACTGTCTTCCTATTATGTCCTAGAATCTGTATTGATAAAGCCACTGGATGGCGAAACGTCTACTACAATAAAGATATCCAGATGTTGCACATGTGTCTTAACTTTCATATTGTCGGTATTTTATACCTTTCTTTGCGTAACTGGAAGGTATAGGAGTGCGCAAAGCAACGCGGGTAGCTTTATCTGCATTTCTGTCCACGTGTTTGGCTTCGAGTGGATTATTCAAGAACATTGTCCCTGAACGCCTGAGAGACGTGGTAGAAGCTCAGGACTACAGATTCAATGAAGCAGCCATTCAGTGGGACACCCTAGCAGACTCCTCCAGTAGACTATCTCCTCCCAAAGAGCACACAGTCCCACTGGGACAAACCGATCATGGAAATAATCGCCAACACAATGCTCACCAGTGCTTCAGGAAGGGACAAAGCTCGTCTCCTAGCAGTGAAGGCACCTCACTCAGGCGATTTCCTTCTAGCTGTTCCCAATTCCTCCCTTGGCACTTGACTCGACCCACAGGCCATTCGAATTGGTTTTGCTCTTCACCTAGCCGCCCCCATCCTCACAGAATATATGTGTATTTACGGCAGGGCGACGGCTGATCAATTCGGACTTCATGGTCTCGTGTGTCACACATCAGAATTGAAGTATGCCAGACATGAGGAGGTCAACGACATCATAAAGAGAAGCCTCTCCACAGCCCGTTGCCCAGCCCACCGGGAACCCCAAGTGGAGAGGTCCGACGGAAGTCAAAAACGTCCTGATGGAGCCACTGTTCTACCCTGGAAGGATGGAAAGCAGATTTCCTGGGACTACACCTGTGCCTCCACATTGGCAGACACCTACTTCCCATACTCCGTAGCTGAGGGAGGTGGAGCTGCTGGCTACAAGGAGACCCAGAAGACCCGCAAATGTGCTATAACTTCATACTAATAGGGTCGAAGACCCTTGGAGCATGGGGTAAGTGTGCTCTATAGCTGGGTTAAAAACTCATCACAGAAACCAAGGATCACAGAGCGGCCAGCTTCCCCTTTCAGAGTCTCAGTGTTGCTATCCAGAGGGGAAATTCCTGCAGCATTCTGGACTCGCTGCCCTCCACCGGGGGAGCTGGACGAAGTATTCGAGATGTAGCTCTGAATTGTTATCCATGTAGTTTTACTCCTAATTTTATTTTTGTGAATGCATTTCGTCAATGTATTTTGCTTTTAAATAAAGTATATATACAATATACGGGTGGTAGAAGTTTACCTGGAGAGAGTTTAGTGGGTCATCGCCCCCGCAGCTCGGTCTGAGACCAGGCCTCATGGTGGATCAGGGTTTGATCAACCAGGCTGTTACTGCCGGCAGCACGCAAATTGACGTACGAACCACAGCGCGGTTGGTCAGGTACTGACTTTAGGCACCTGTCCAGCGTCTTCTTGAAGACAGCCAGGGATCTATTGGTAATCCTCCTTATGTATGCTGGGACGCAGTTGAACAGTCTTCGGCCCCTGACTCATATTGTCTTGTCTCTCAATGTACTCGTGGCGCCCTTGCTTTTCATCGGGGGAATGTTGCATCAATTTTCAAATAGTTTCAGGGAGAACCTTGAATTTTCCCTGAAGCAAGTTTATTATCATCTCTTATCTCTAAGGATGAGGGTCCCCAGGACAGTTCCAGAGGTGGTACCTCCCTATATTATATTATTATAACCACGAACGAGTGGTATTGATCAATAACAACACTGCGCTAGCCAAGGATTCGAACCCATGTTGTACTGGCCTGCCTCATGGTAAACGAGAACCACATGACGCTTTAAACCACAGGACCACCAAACCCTACATTTCTGTCCACGTGTTTGGCTTCGAGTGGATTAGTCAAGAACATTGCCCCCGAACGCCTGAGAGAGAAGGGTTGGGTGGTCCTGTGGTTTAAAGCGTCATCCGGTTCTCGCATATATGTGTGTGTGTGTGTGTGTGTGTGTGTGTGTGTCGTGCCGAATAGGTTGAATTGGTCAATTAGCAAAAACTCTTTTAAAATTTTCTGCTATTCGTTTAATGATATATTTTTTTTCATTTATGTTAATGTAAAAATTCCTAATTTTTAACCAAATGAACCATAGAAAACTTACCTAACCTTATTTTAACAAGCGCAATTTAATATAGCCTAATCCAGCGAAATATATTTTAGATAAGCTTACAGTAATTTACTTATAAACAAACACAATGAAATATATTTTATTTCGTTAAGTTCAGAATGATTTTTGTGAAATTATTGCATACACAAATTTTCACTTGCCTTATTCGGCAAGAAGAGCGTTGCTATTTAAGCCAAAATCGCAAGTTTTACCTATTTGGCATGAATAGGTAGGACTTGTGAATGGAATATGAAAGGGCTGCTAGAAGAACTAGATATCTCAAAGGCGATGGGACCGGATAACATCCCTCTCTGGGTCCTGAGAGATGGAGCAGAGGCACTCTGTGTACCACTATCAACAATCTTCAACATATCCATCGAAACAAGGCGACTACCAGAGGTATGGAAGACAGCAAATGTAGTCTCAAGTTTTTAAAAAATGCAGACAGACACGCAGCACTGAACTACAGAGCATCGTCACTGACATGTATGCAAAGATTCCTGTGTCACGAGCCTTCTAATGTTCTATGACAAGGTGACAGCAGTAAAAGAAGAGAGAGAGAGAGAGAGAGAGAGAGAGAGAGAGAGAGAGAGAGAGAGAGAGAGAGAGAGAGAGAGAGAGAAGAGGCTTTTGAAACAGTTCCTCACAAGAGATTAGTGCAAAAACTTGAGGACCAGGCAGGTATAACAAGGAAGGCACTGTAATTGATCAGAGAATACCTGACGAGACGGCATCAGCGAATCATGGTACGTGATAAGGTGTCAGTAGGCTCCTGTGACGAGCGGGGTTCCACAGGGGAAAGTTCTAGGACCAGTTCTGTTTCCGGTATGTGTGAACGACATGGCAGAAGGAACATAGACAGAAGTGTCCCTGTTTGCAGACGGTGTAAAGTTTATGAGGAGAATTCAGTCGAAGAAGGACAAGGCAAGACTACAGAGGGAACTGGACAGACTGCAGGCCTGGTCCAGCAACTTGCTCCTGGAGTTTAAGTGTAAAGATATGAAGATCGGGGAAGGGCAAAGGAGACTGCAGACATAATACAGTCTAGGGAGCCAAAGACCACAAACCTAGCTCAAAGAAAAGGATATTGGAGTGTGTATAATACCGAGCACATCTGAGGAGCACATCAACCAAATAACTGCTGCATCATATGGGCGTCTAGCGAACCTAGGAATAGCATTCCGGCATCTCAGTAAGGAGTCGTTCCGGACTCTGTACATCGTATATATCAGGACCATATTGGAATAAGGAATCGTTCCGTACCCTATACACCATGTACGTCAGGATCATATTGGTGTATGCAGCCCCAGTTTGGAATCCACACCTGGCCAAGCACGTGAGAAAACTAGAAAAAGTGCATATGTTTGCAACGAAACTAATCTCGGAGCTAAGGGACATGTCTTACGAGGAGAGGTTAAGGGAACTCGACCTGACAACACTGGAGGACTGGGCGGACAGGGGCGATGGGAACAAGATAACGACTTATAAAATGCTGAGAGGAATCTACAATGTAGACAGAGACAGGATGTTCCAGAAATGGGACACAGCAACATGGGGTCACAAATGGAACTTGAAGACTCAAGTGAGTCACGGGGATGTTAGGAAGCTTTTTTTAGCCATAGAGTTGTCAGGAAGTGGAATAGTCTGGAAAGTGCGGTAGTGAAAGCAGGTACCATACGTAGCTTTAAGAAGAGGTATGATAAAACTCATGGAGCAGGGAGAGGGTAGGCCTAGTGGCGAGCAGTGAAGAGGCAGGACCAGGAGCTATGATTCGACCCCTGCAAGCACAATTAGGTAAGTACACACACACACACACACACACACACACACACACACACACACACACACACACACACACACACACACACACACACGGAGCTCCGCGGGGAGGAGGAAGAGAAGTTCGTTTCCAGGAGCAATAGAAACAATGGGAAGAGCAGTGTGAGGCCATGATTTATCCAGAGGTATAGAGAGAGCAAAGTCAAATGTGTTAGAGCATGGAAAAAGTATAGAAGGCAAAGAAGTAAGAAAAACAAGGAGTTGAGCCGAAGAGCCAGAAATAAGTACTCATCGATATAGAGGGAGGCCCAGCGGCAATTTGAGAATGGCGTAGTACTGGCAGTCAAATCCGACCTAAAGCTGTTATGCAGCCACATCAAGAGGAAAAGAATAGTCAGAGATCACGTAATAAGACTGAAGAAGTAAAGGTGTAAACTCACAAGGAATGCCCAAAAAGTCTGTGAAGACCTCAGGATCATATTTAGTCCAGAGGTATTATCAGAGGAGGCAGAAAGACTTTTAGCAAACCGTAGCGGTAAAGTACACCAGCAAGTGTTGGACATATTACAGACAACCTGGGAGAAGGTAATAAAATTGCTATATGAGCTGAAAACCTCGATGGCGATGGGACCAGATAATACCTCGCTATGGATCCTGAGAGAGGAAGTAGAGACACTGTATGTGCAGCTACCAAAAATCTTCAACAAGTCAGTCGATATGAGAAACTACCTGAGGTATGGATGACAGTAAATTTTAAAGAAAAGAGACAGGCAGGTAGCGTTCAACTACATGCCAGTGTCACTGACATGAGAAGATTATCAGGAGAAGTGCGATGGAGCACCTAGAAAGGAGTATGTTTATACATTACAACCAGCACTTCAAAATGGAAAATCCTTTGTCACAAACGTAATGAAAATCTACGACAAGGTAACAGAAGTGAAATAGGAGAGAGAAAAGGATGGCTAGATTACATTTTTTTTTTTGGATTGTAAAAAGTTTTTTGACACAGTACCGCACTAGGGACTGGTACAAAAGGTAGAGCATGCAGCAATAACAGAAAAAGCTCTATCGTGGATAAAGGCATACCTGCCTAGAACAAAACAACGAGAGAAGGCTCGTGACGAAGTGTCGGAATTGGTGGCTATGACTAGTGGAGTTCCACGAGGATCAGTCCTAGGGTCGGTGCTCTCTCTTGTGTACGTGAATGACTGGCAGAAGGGATAGAGTTAGAAGTGTCCCTGTTCGCAGACGACGTGACACTAATGAGGAGAATGCAAGCGGACGAGGACCAGGAGAGACTATAAATGGATCTGAACAGGCTGCTGGCCTGATCTCTCAAG